TGTTATATTAGCAAGTAAACGGGGAGCATAAGAGGTTTGGATTTTAAAGCTTAAGTTTATTAAGACATTCTTCCATCTACCATCAACAAAGAAATTTTTTTTATATCATCAACAAATAATTTAAAATTTTGTACCTATAATTTAGAAGGGAATTTTTAAAGTAAAGGCTAAAATAGGCTAGATACAATTTTTCATAACGGTGTTTCTAACTCTATTTTTTTAAAATTAATTTTATTTTTCCTAAAATTATTGAGACATCCCTCCATCTACCATCAACAGAATCCACAATTAAATTTTTTTAGTGTATATTATTAGTGTTATAATAGCGAGCAAATGGGGAATATAAAAGGTCTGGATTTTAAAGCTTGGATTTATTGAGACATCCCTCCATCTACCATCAACAAAGAATTTTTTTTCTGTAATCAATAAATAATTTTAAATTTTGTTCCTATAATTTAGACATAGAATTTTTAAGGTAAAGGTTAAAATAGGCTAGATACAGTTTTTCAAAATGGTGTTTCTAACTTTTTCTTTAAAGTAATTTTGTTTTTCTTAAAAATATATGAATTTTTCTCCAAACCTAAAAATAAAAATGAAATTTTGGGTTATCCATTGGAGCAAAAGCAAATACCTTTATGAAAATAATTGAAGTAAAATGATTTTAAATATAATGAATTGTACAATATAATTAGGTATTACACAATTGAATTTTTTATTAAAAGAATTACAAAATATTTTGTATATCTTTTTTGATCAAAATTTTTTTATATATCTAATTATTTAATGTCCAATAATAGTGTATATTCACATTATTTATAGCACCTACTGCACTTTTGTGTCACATTCCTCATAATATTATTATTATTATAACCAAAATCTTATAGATTAAACAAAGTCATGCAGTATTTATAGCAAAAAAAATAAGAACTTATGACAAAACAAAGAAAGCATAATAGGAGAAAAACAACAAGAGTAAATAAGTTCAACATGAGACAAATAGAAAAGAAGAACAGTGAATAGATTTACACAAACAACTTCTAAAGAAACAAATTTTTATAAATTTCTATGGTTGAATATTTCAAAGTAATTAAATACCTTTCAATCTACTCTTGATACAGATAAACCCGCTCTCCATAATGCTGTGAGTAGAAAATCCCAGCACATAGCGACCAACCTCAAATTTTTTCTTATTCTCTTGTTGGCCATCATATTTGAATGAAACAAAAGAAGAAAAGAGGAACAGAAAAAGAAAAAAAAAATCATCAAGAGGGGCCACAAAAGAAGTTGATAGACCACTCAAGGTGGTCAATGGACGAGCACGATCGGCCTACTTCACCGTGCTCGAGAAGTCGGAGGACTTTCGAGCATGAGAAAAACAGAAAAACTTGGGGAAGGTTGTAGCCAAAATCAGGAGGATTCTAGAGTAGAGAGAGGTGTTGGCTTAATGACTTAAACTCCTCATTATTATTGAAATGATAAAATACAAACTACATATTTACAAATATAAAATTCATTAAGACAATTGCAACCGTAATTTTCAATTTTTTGGAGAGAAGACAAACAAAACCGCAATATTGTCACCAAGGAGAAAACAAAAAGAGAGAAAAACTGCTAATTAAAAAAAAAAAAACTCATAATACAATTAATTAATAAAGATAAAATAATAATTCTTTATTTTAATCCGTGAATCGGTAGCAATGTGTGATGACGCTGCATCCTCTTTGGTACGGGTTGGCCTTCGCACTGGTGCCACAGTTGTAGTACGACCGGCCGCGTTGGTTGCACGGAACATTATCTTGCTTCAGGGCGGCGTAGCTAATGTGTCTTGGCCCTTGGACCAGCGCTCTACGGCTAATCTCTGGGTCCAATATCCTCGCTTCTTCATACTCCCTATTAAGGCACTCGCCTACGGGGCCGTGGCAGGCCGATACGTCGCTGCGGTGCACGTGTGGCAAATGTGGTCGGCCCCATTGAGATGTCTCAGCCACCGATGTGGTGGCCGAGGAGAGGAGGAGAAGAAGCAATGGGAGCCAGAGATTCATGACGGTAGAAAGAATAGGGAGCGAGAGAAATGGTGGGAGAGGTATAACAAGATTGGAATGGTAATATGCGTTTTTAGTGGTAAAATAAGGAAGAATTTTTGGCTCGTGTGGTGGGACTTGTGCTTCGGAACTTTTCTTGCTCCTTCAAAATTGGAATTTAAATCCAAATTAAGATAAAAGGACTTGAAATTGATGAATATAAGGTTGTGATTTTTTCAGCAAAGACACTAAAACTATAACATTGTCATTTTTTAATAATAAAATTTCATCATAAATTTTACGATGTTCATAAGCCAAATAAATGTATGTAGATTCATGCGTCTCCCCAAAAGAATTAATAATAATTGTGTAACCTCACATCGTAGATTTTATTATCAAAAAATTATTTTTTAATTAGTTTTTTTCAGTCTTAACTTTTATTATCAATAAGTTATTCAGTATTTTCTTATCAACAAAAAATTATTTGTTTGTGGGAGGCTTATAAATTATTTATTTGTTTCTGAGGCTTACATTTAATGAGTTTACAATAAAGACTGGCTCTTCTCTTTTGCCCAAGCTCTATCCATTCATCTCAAAATCTGAGCTCTTAATCACTAGTATGTATTTTTATGGGAACTTTCACTCAACAAATAGTATCGCATAACATGAGTGTTTCCAACTATAGGATTCTTAGATCGATGGGATGGAATTTGAGAAACATTATTTGTCTCATAGGAAATGTTTCTAATATTAACTTTGTGTTTATATTAAAAATTTTAAGTTTTGTTTATAAATTGTTTTTGTTAATAACAAAAGACCAATTTATTAATAAGTTAAAACCTCATTTTAGTCCCTGAACTATTGTATGAACCTCCGATTTGGTCCCTAAACTTAAAACATCCCTGATTTGATCCTTACTATTTATCATTTTTACTCTGATTTGATCCCTCCATTAATTTTTCACGTTAATTGATCCCTCCATTAATTTTTCACGTTAATTGATGAACAAACACATAAGAAGCATTATGTGTCACACAAAAATTGACAAGTTGGCAAAAATAGATGACATGGCCATTCTAACTCATCCCACCCAAAAATTTTTTTTTTTCCATTCCTCTCTTTCATCTACCATTTCTTCAACTTCTATAAACCCTAATATCTCAACCAATCTATTCATCTCAACAAATTTCTACCTTTGTTGGGTTATTTATCATCATCATCATCAAACAATAAAACCCACAAAAAAACAAAATTTTATTTAAAAATTTTTCACCCATGGATTCTTTCTAAACCAAGCATGCTGGGTTCAAAGGAACCCAACGCCTTGGTTCAATCAAACCCAGCAAGCAACTTTTCTTTCTTCTTCCACTTCGTTACTTTGCCTTCTTCATCAATCACTTCTTCATCAATCAATTCTTCACCTTCATCAATTAATTCTTCTTCATCATCAATCAAGAAAACCCAAAAATATATATATATATATATTTTTTGCCCCTAGGTTCGAAGGAACCCGTAACTAGGTTCCAAGGAACCTAGGCGTGTTGGGTTCCAAGGGAAAAGAGAAAGGGAAAGAGAAGGAAAAAGAAAAAAAAAAAAAAAAGAAGAATTTTTTAAGTTTTATTTAATATTTTTTTATATTATTATTTTTTTCATGTCATCATTTTTTTGTCCTATTGTCTTCCACGTGTATTAATATTTGACATGTCATTGTGTAACTGTGAAGTAATAGGCAACGTCACCAGAATTTTAACAAAAGGACCAAATTGATGTAAAAATAGTAAATAATAGGAATCAAATTAAGGATTTTTTAAGTTTAGGAACCAAATCAAGGGTCCATACAATAGTTCAGGGACAAAAATAAGGTTTTAACCTTATTAATAATAAAAGTATAAAAGAAATAAATTTTTTACAATCAAAACCATCACTATAATTTAACTATTAGTTACTAATAAAATATTAATCACAAATGATCAATTTTTGTCACATATACTAATTTGTATTCATGACTAGAGATTTTTTCACTCATAACAACTGCATTTTGTGATGATTTATACAATTTATCACAAAAGAAAATCATAATAAGTAACAAATTTTTCTGTCACAATTAAGTTACAATTGAACTTGAGAAATAAAAAAAAAAAATTGGGACAGTAATAGCAATCACACATTAGTGAAAAGAATTTTATTAAAATATAAATTTTAACTAAATTAATTCAAAAAAAATGCACCACCTACATCTTTATTCTCAAATAATTTTTTTATTCCTCTAATACTATAAAAATCATAGTCAATCAAAGCGCTCCTAACTTTATTAAATATCTTATTTATTATCTATGCATAAAATATTTAATTATTTCTTACATCAAACCGAAAGAAATATATATTCTTATGCAGTTTTTTTTATTAATTTCTTTGAATAACAAATTTTTTTATTAGAGAATAGGGGATACTCCTACCTTTACAAATTGAATTATACGTATTAATATTGGATCCATGTATTATATATTATTAACTCTACAAAAGGTTACCTCACTCAAGCAAATAGATAGAGATAAAAGCATACAAAATACTTGCACCTAGAATACCTTATATGCACATAATCATATATAGGGGCATCATACTTTCACACCATACTTTCACGCCATACTTGTACTGACAACTTCATCAATGACATTGTATTTAATTAATGACCATAATTAATTCAAGAGGGAGGTTTTGCAAAATTACAACTTGATAAAATGTGAAATGTCTGGTGACGGAATTGAAAATATCCATCATTTGGTCCTATTGTCAAGTCGCCTATGCCTTACAGAAAAAGTATTTGAAGTGGTAGGTTTGTGTTCAGTAGTTGTTTGAGGTTTTTTGCCAACACTTAAAGGTTTCTCTCAAATAAGAGGGTGAGAGAAGAGTGGGAAATGGGAAGTTGAATGATTTGCTTATGGTAATTGTGGTTAAGTAAAAATAACCATGTGTTATACATATACATTTGAAAGTGATATGATCATCAAATTTTAGAAGTACCTCTTATATTCCACATATTAATAAAAATCAACTTTTATTATTCAAAATAACTTGATAATCATAACTTCGATATAAATATATAATATATTATTTTTTAGTTTTACTTTGAATGAGTTCTTTTTTGTTTTTATTTGATAGATATTTTATTCTTCTATTGGTATATGAGTAAAATTGTGGAATAAAAAAATCTCAAATCACCTAAAAATAAAAAGTAAAGCGTATGAACAATTTATATAAGAAAATGTTTAAATCCCACATTACTTAAAAATAAAAGTATAGTTTACAAATACTTTATATAAAGAAAGATTTAAATTATGTTAGTCAAATTTTTTAAGTCCTGAAGTGTTGGATTTAGGTTAAATAATTTTATTATCAGCCTTTTAACATTTTATTATTATTATAATAATTATTATTTAAAACTATTTGAATTAAATATATTTTTTAAAATAGTAAGAATCAATTTTATATTAAAATTGTATTGAAAATTTTTTAAATTTCATTTTTAGTGAATTATTTTTTTCATCGAGATAAAATTATTAATAACTTAAAAGTTTTGTCGCAATAAATTTTTAACGATTTTTTCTGTCACATTAAAAAATTTTGTTTTCTGTGACATATTATAGATGTTACAAAAAATAAAAAAAGAAGACTATTTGTGTCCAATTATTTTGTCACAAATAATCTTAATTGTGATGCATATAATTGTGTTTATTTTATCATCACTAAAATCATAATTTTTTGTCATAATTACAAAATTAATTATTATTAATTTTAGTAACTCAATATTTATAATGGACAGTAACCAACAAAATTTTAAGCACAAATGTAATTTGTAACTAAAAATGTAAGTTTTTGTGATTGATTTTACCATGACAAATTAAAAAGCAAGTTTCCTTATAGTGATATAACATAAGACTTAAATTTAAAATCTTTTATTTCTATTGAAATTACTATTAAACTATTTATTAGAAGGATATTATTATTAAACTATTTAGTTTGTAAGCATAAATCAAGCATTAAAGCTACCCAAACTCAAACCAAAATAACCTTTCTCAGCTATTCCATGCCTCCCTGTTATATCTTCCAGCAACCTAATACCCTCCTGTATAAATTGTTCACCTTCTCCTAGATATTTAATTTTCCAAAGCTCTGATCAAGCTATCCTGTGGATTATTCAACTAATTTGTTTGTGGTAAATCACACAAATCCTCCCTGCCATTTGTCCAACGAAAAGATCTCAATTATATTTGTTCAAACGTGACACCCTCTTCATGTTCAACCACTATTTTTCAAAAAAATCACTCATTCCTAGCTAGTGAGCCACAGTGTCTACGTTGCAAACCAAACTACCAAGTACCAACCATCATTTTCCTTATCAACTGATCATCAGACCTAACAAATAAGTCATGCTGAATAAAAGTATCAATACATTCACCTGTGCCAGAACATTTTTCAAACTCCACATGCATAACATGGCATCCAAATTCTATATGACTGTTATACAAAAGATCTTCTCGTCTATGAAGGAGATCTACCATCTAGATTACATTTTTTCATAAAAAAAAAAAAAAAAAAAAAAAAAGAGTTCCAAATTCTATTTTACTGTTATTCAAAAGATCTTCTTGTCTTTGAAGAAAATATCTACTATCTAGATCACTTTTTTCATAATAAGAACAGCGTTTTTGGTTTTACAAATTCAACATTGTGTTGAACAGTAAAATACCAAGATCAGATGGAGGTGGTCTGCAGATAGTTCTGTAGCCCTGAACACACAAAACATTTCTATAAGGAAAAAACGATTATTTAATCAAAAAGAAAAAAGAGGAGAAAAAAAAGAAGAAAAAGAAAAAAAGAAGAATAGAGACTAAACAAAGCATAGCCAAGATGAGACGGAAATCAACAAATCCTCGTTGTCTAAAATTGGCAAAGAACGAGAAAATCACATTCATTCAAAAACCATCTGGATATTAAATACCATCAAAAATTGCAGAATATTAGCACAATAACATAAGACCAAAAGAAATAAACGAACCCCATTCTTTCAAACAAGAATTTCCCTTAAGCCTTTGTCTCCTTAATTAAACAACACTAAAGCTACCCAAAACCACACTAACCCCAACACTTAATCCGACCACTAACCAAGTAGACAGCTCCGATGTCAAAGAACCCCAATTCTTGTGCGATGGAGCTGGTGCTGCTGGACCATCCACCATTGACGGACCATCACTATCACCAGCCTCTGGCGACTCCGAGGGAGGTGATGAAACAGGAGGTGACAGCGGAGAATCAATCACCGGAGCGGGAGACATAGCTGGAGGAGATGGGGAAGGAGTAGGCAAAGGAGGGTAATGGTGCTTGTGCCTCACAGCGAGGACCACCACGATGAGCTTTTGACCTTTGTTGCAGTTATTTGCATTTCCACTGATGAAGAAAAACGGACCCGAACGATCAAACTTGAACTCTGAATTACCATCGGTTAAGGACTTTATCGGATTCGTGATGTTGCAGGAGAAGTAATCCTCTTTGCTCACCACCAGCACTGAGTCTGATCCTTTCTTGTACCTGAAAACTGCCAAAAAAAAACAAGGAGAGACAGAAAAACGTACCGAACTGAAATTGTACCGTGACAAGATTTAATTGAAAACTTATGTATATGCATGTGTTAGAGAAGAATTAAACTTACAGAGAGTGTCATTGACCTGAAACCGGTTTCTCCCCGCCCAGTGATTGTAGTTCTCCTTAGGGTTAGCCACCCAACCATCTCTCCCGCCAACGTAAAACTTATATGCTTTGGACGAGCTGATCAAACTCATCACGGTGGTGATCATCAGGCATCCAAGAAAATTTTTTGAACACATGCCTAAGTACCAATCACAGAACATTTAGAATTGCGGAGAAATCTAGAAAAGGTAAAGGGGGTGAGAGGTGGAAATCTAGATGGGAAGCGAAGGGAGTGATTTGGGGGTGGAATTTATATGCGGTGGAAAGGCGATGATAAGGCGAGCTAGGTTACCATTTGGAGGAGAGGATACACGGTGAAAGCGCAAGCTGTGAATTTTAGGCGGTGTTCTTTTTTATAAGGAAAGTTATTTACATGCCTTAAACTAATGAGTAAGGAAAACAAAGGAAAGTTATTTACATTTTTTTACATATTAATATTATAATAAAATAAAGAAAAAATGATATTTTAAAATTTTATTTTTTTAAATACAATTTATAATTGGTAAAGTTTTTTTCTATTTATTTTGAAACAAAAAGGTTTCCCTATCACTTTCTTTCTATGGGACTTATTTAATAGCTTCACATACTCTCTCTATTTCAATTTCTTACTAAAAATAACATAATTAATAACCTAATAACATTCTAATAAAATTTCATTACAAAACCTAACAATTTTTCATATCGTACTTTCTAAGGTTTAATTTGATAATACTAACCTATAACTATAGCGGTAAGTATTTTAATTCTTTTAACATTCCAAAAACATATAAAATATTTTTTATATATTTAATATTCATTTTAATTAATATTTTATATACTTTTAAAATAATAAAAATACATAAAAATTAAAAGATAAAATATTAAAAATATTATCAAACGAAACCTAATTTTCTATACAGTACTTTTCTAATCACTTTTCTAATAAAAATTTTCCAAATAAAATAGCCACCTAACCAAACAGAACATAAGGGTTTTTTTTTGGCTGGATGTATTTAGCGGTTTCATTTGGCTGTCTTTATTTCGGGAGCTATGGTGTGCTTACACGTCGCAACATGCAGGGGATTCAACGGTCACCGGATGGTTTCTGAAGAAAAAATTTTCTCGGTTTTAAACAGTTTTGTCTAAATATATCAAAACGGACTTTCAGCTTTGTTTAAACAGTTTATATTATGATGATGTCAAATTCCTCTATATTATGATCATAATAATTAAAAATTATTCTAGTATCAAATATATTGAAAATGATTGAGTGAGAATAATATTGTCTTTTTCAATGTTTTTCTAATTTAATCAAAACAAGTGATTACGTACTACTTAGAGCACATGAATATTAGGAAAATGGAGCAAACTAGATCGATACTATTGCTTTGATCAAGAAATTTTCCCAAGCATTTCTTTATTTTCTTCTTATGCTCTAATTTTTGGACAGAATTTAACATATTTTACAATATATTTTTTTAAATTATTATTTTTCAATTTAAAATTAAAAGTGAACAAATTTAAAGTTATAAGTTTTAATGGTTAGACTAGTGAATAGTGAAAATTGTATTAAATCGAATGGTATATTAATAATTTTTCTTTTGAATATGGTTATTATAATCCTTGAGGCTCAATTTGGTTTAGTTGTTCTCAATTAATAAGATTTGATGGTTATAACTGTTAGTTGATAACTAATAAGACAAGTGATATTCATTTAAAACCAACCAATAATATGATATTTCCAAAATATCTTAATTGATATTAAAATAAAAATAGCTATAAGCTAATAAAATCAGCTAAACTAAACGTACTATCAATTAATTTAGTTTTTTTTTTTTTTTTTTTTTTTTTTTTTTTGTATTAATGGTAGTAAAGGTATCCCTAAACTAGTTTTTTTATGCCTTGGGAATAATCCCTTTCCAGGAGATCTTAAAAGAGCACCTACTGCCTCAACTTAATACATTTAAAAAAATAATAATATTTTTAAGTGTTAACCCAAAAACTTAAACCCTAATTTGACTAACACTTGCTTATAGTAGATATAAATCCCTAATATTATTTAGAATTTGTTTAACCTGTATTCTAAAGGTACAAATTAAAGGCATAATAAATACAACTGTTACAATTAATTTACATGAAATATAAGAAAAGTTAACTTTTATTTTAGTGAAATGTCAAGTTGATAGTTTTAATTAGTCAATTTTTAT